CCCCAAAACCCCAAAACCCCAAAACCCCTCATTTACTTTACCAACAATAAAATAATAAAAATGGAAGGCTCCCACAAATCAAACTTCATCAACTCAATTCTCTCCAAAGTCGATCAAAAACAGCTTGTCAGCACAAAAGAACACTCTAAATTATACGATTACTTCGAACAGGACTACTTCCAGAAGACCAGGTACTCCTTCTATAACCCCTTTAGGTACGCTTATACCACCACAGTCTTGTCAGTACCAGCCAAAAACCTGGAGATATCAGGTACACACTACAGCTTACAGTTATAGTTGTGAGCGATCAAGACAACCCTGAAGAGCAGCAAGGCTCGTTTTTAGAAGCAATCAAGAAGTACTACAATTACGTCAAATACATTTATGGCAGTCAGTAAGTAGACAAACTGACTTTTAGAGGCAGCGATCTTTACTATAGATTCGATTTTTATAGAACAAAAGTGAGTTCAGTGGAATATGAAGAGAGCAAAGAACAAATTAATCCAAATGAACTGTTTAAAGTTGGAATGAAGTTCTATTGTAATCGCAACAAATCCCCTAATTTTGAGACTTTGTTTGCGAAAAGAAATATGGTTATTATCTCAGTAGATCCTAGAGACGAGGCTTCTCTAGCCCTAGTTAATACTTGTAGCAAAGTATTAGAAACAAAAGCTATAGATATTGCAAGAAATGGTAAATATTTTTCTGCTAATTGCTAGATCCCATATTTCCCGAGATCTTGCTCCCTAAAGATTATTACGAGCAATATTACAGGAAAATGGTAAAGATTGTGGTGAACCGCTGCGACTCCAGCCACAGAATCGTTGGGACCAACAAGCTGCTGAGAACTGCAATAAAGTACGGCTTTGGGATAGTGGAACTCAGGTAAGGATCTGCATAAACTTGTAGCTCAGAGACAGGAGTTAACCTAGATTTCTTGATGAATCACCTCATAGAAGTACTTATTCCTGAAGAAGCAGTTGAGAAAATTGAGACAATTGATGTCAAAGACAATTACCAGAATAAAGAAATGAAAGGTATTTAATAAGTCTCTTTAACGTCGATAGGAGTATTGGAGAGATTGAAAGAAAAGTACGGGGACACAATAGAGATAATAACATAATATTTCAATCTAGTGAATTGCATTGGGGTTTTGGGGTTTTGGGGTTTTGGGGTTTTGGGG